TTGTTACCATCCATGCGATAAGGAAAACCGCGTTGTTGCCGAAACCTTTGAGAACATTATTACTGAGCATGGCTGCCTCCGATGTTGGCGTTGGTTTGTTGGTCCAACCGCTCTACATTTCTACTTTTGTCAGCCGGTCAAAGCAAAAACGTATCGACTGCATTTACCACAAGGGATTGTCCGCCGTTATTATTTTCTTTGGCATATCCTCACTCTTTAATGTTGTAATCATAAGTGTGGACAGGTTCTTAGCTGTTCATCTTCATCTCAGATATCAAGAGCTTGTGACTCACAGGCGCGTCATCGCAGCGGTGATATCAATATGGCTGTTAAGCGCAATTATTTCTTCTAGTGTCTTTTGGAATCCATTGCTTTTCAGCTCAGAAGTCTTTGAGCTCGTGATTATAACTGTTTGCCTAATTCTGGTGGTAATCGTCTACTGGAGAATTTCTATAGTCTTAAAGCGACACAAAAATCAGATTGAAGGCCTTCAAATCCAAGAAGTACAACAGGGAGTTCAAAATGGCGACTTATCTAACTTTTTGAAGCTTCGAAAGTCAGCTCTTGGAACATTTTATGTATGTATCGTGTTCTTGATTTGTTATTTGCCTACCTATATTCTCTCTTTTTTATTCATGGCTCGCCTTTTAGGTTCAATCTCTTACTACAAAGCTCAGCCCTATACAACGACTTTGTGTTTCCTCAACTCGTCTTTGAACCCTGTTATATACTGCTGGAAGATGAGACCCATTCGTCGCACCCTCATGGACGTAATGCGAGGCATCGTCAATCGGTTCAGAGAATAGCATTTATTATGAGTAATTGCTGTTGTAAATACAAGCTTCTAGAAATCTCCAGACTGCTTAGTCATGCTGACATGCTTCTGGAATGTTCAATACCACTTGGTGAATGTATGTAAGGACCCGGTTATGTAGTAGAAGTTGTTGTTGTCGTCAGGAGTAACAGACTGTTTAGAAAGCTATACCGTGAGAGAGAACTGCAGTGGAAGATTGTTAATTTCAAGAAACGTTGGAGGAAACTGAGTTCTACTCAG